TTATTAAGTTGATGTTTTTAATTTGCTCCAAATGATCCATTATTCAGCAATCAAAGGAACCTTTAGAGGCTGTCTTAAATATATCAAGTTTCACTTTGATGATTCTTGAAAATCAGTCCCAAGTATCTTCTACTACTCTAATTGTCTTCATTGTTTCATGTTACACATAATTGGGTAGTGGGTATCCCATATACATAGCCTAACCATTTCTAAAAAGCTAACACTTCAGAGTTTTATAAATTAAAACTTTTATAAACAAAAACTGTTATAACCATTTCATTTTGACCCATACAATACAAAACAACAATACTAAATGCAATATTATGGCACGGATACCAAATAACAAATATAACTCGCACAAGTATTTTATCAAACATATTTAAAGCTAATCCACCAACATAACAAATCTATCAATCCATCAGTCCCTATTACTACTCACACATCAGCACAAACGCAAGCAAATCACTAGCATACGAGATTCAAAGAGAGTTAAAAAGAGAAGAGAAGAAGAGATCAAGAGTCCAGAGTCAAGAGATTGAAGAAAAGACAGTTAAAAAAATGAAGATCTGTTGAAGATTTGAAGAACTGTGGAAGAGAATTGACGAAGAGCCAAAGAGGAGAAGGACAAAAGAAAATCTTTTATAGTCAATACACACCCCAACCCACCACCAAAAAAAATGGCTTTTCACTTTTATTTATTTATTTATTTTTTTTTTTTTTTTGCCTGCAATAATACTCATATAATTCAGGAATTATATGGATTGGGCATATAATAAATGTATTATATAGCAGCCTTGATAAAATACGTAATTCAAGTTTTATACGCGAATTTACTAATTAGGTCTAGGCTCACATTTGGGTCTGCCTATCCTCGAGACCACGGAACACCCTACAAGCCCAACGAACCAAAGTAATTGTACAAATATGGTAGGTACATTTTCTGTAACTTGAACACAAGACCCCTTGGGTATAACTAACCTCAATGGCTAAAGGGTTTACCATCCGACCACAATGGAAGATATTATAAGAGAACACTTTTGGGGCCAGGGGACTTGAATTTTAGGAATCATAGATGGAAGACAATCTGAATTTTCTAAACCCTTTTAATTTTCTCACATATGATTAATTTGAAGAATGTCTTCGAATTCCTTCATGAATTATCACTTGTATAAATGGTTGGGCACTTGTTACGTATAAATTTTCTCAGTTCTTGATTCAATTCAGATTCAAACTTGTGTTAAAATGGTTGTTTTAGTATTCACTATTCACACATATATTATGGTGGTGGTGGAGGCGTAGTCATTCTTTTAAGAATAATATTGTAATTGCAAATTTTTTATGCAAACTTTTTTATTTAAATTATTACTGAATATTATTATATATATGATGACCAAATCATTTATTTTAATGTAAATTAATTTACTTCAATTTTAACAATTCATTACATTCTAATTATATAATTTAATAACATGAGTGAATGAATAAAATTTGAGAACATTATATATAATTTTTCAGGAAAATAATGTAGAAATCAAGAAAATTATATGTTATATTGCTATTAACATAAAAACCATATCATATGTATTTTGTATACCATTTCAGTATAACATCAAGGACATTAAAAAAAAAAAAAATTATATATAATGATAAATTTAATACTCTATAAATGCAGGATACTGCACACCGGATACAATGAAGTGTCTAAACCAAACCCACAATTATATATAGCAATTTGAATATATAATTCAGTATAGATAAGCAGCGACGACTGTAATTGGACTATATAATGAGTCTAATTAATGGCCGGCTCCCGGACTCGGAACAGACTGCAAAATTCGATCAATCTCAGTTAAATGACGAACAAAGAGACGCTCATGCTCATCACTGTCCATTGCATGGCCCTCAGGGAGAGCTCCAAGAACTAGACTGTCCTTCATGGAAGGGACGACCTCTCTCTTCTCCATGTTCAAGAGCTTTCTAGCTTCAATAGACGGTGCAAAAATACAAATTAAAGCAAAGAAAACCGCTAGCAAAACAGGGTTTGAGCGAGCCATTAATGTAGATTATTGAACGAATGTAAAGCTTGAGAATGAATGAATGTTTGAAGTACTGGATCAAATTGGTGGGGTTGTGAGCTATATGTTTATATATTTATAGGTGTGCATAAGGAGAGTCGTGAGGGTAAAGTTATGAGCAGAAAAGTCAGCAAGTTTGAAATTTGTTAAGGTATATTTTGATGGAAGATTAATAAATATGGAAATGCCTCGTGGAAGTTGGGTTAGGTACAAATGAACTAAGCTGCCGGCGACATAGTCCGCTAAAAGTTTCATGCACTGTTCTTTCTTTCTCATGTGCATCAAAAATTTATGCATATTATTCAAAAGGTCAAACTTAATTTATTGTTTTAGCTTTTATTTCATGTGAGAATCTGGGGATCTTCTGATTCAAATTCAATGGAAAAACAGTGGATCTGAAAGCTACACTTTCTGCCAACACGGTGTCGACCCTAATTAATGGTGATTATGTGTAATTTTGTTGCGTGTAAGGCTTTTCAATGGTAGACCAACACAATCACACATCTGTCTCTCGACAAATCAAATATGAAGGAAGATAGAATTTATTAATATGCCGGATTTTAATTGTTACTGGGTTAATTAATATGCCCGATAAGATTAGGTCCAAATTAAAATATATAAAAATAAATAAATAAATTATAAACTTAATGTTCATAAAAGGCAAAATATATTTTGATTTGACATAAGCGTATCTGTTGAGTAATCTAGTTGAAACAAAACTACTTTGTATGCTTATGAGATTCAATGGAAAAATGACAATAAAAAGGGACAAAACGAGAATTCGAGAAGTCAAGACTTATTAGGGAGCTCAAGGCAAATTGTTTAACTACTTAGCATTATTTTACATTATCGTATTGCAAAGTACTTTGCTAATTAAAATATTAAATCAGTTGACATTGATTATATTATACTTCAACTCAAAACTGGAGCAAATATAGCCAGCAAAACATTTCTGGACCCAGAAACTTGGGATATTTGGCTGATTATTGTTACTTAATTCTAACAATATTATTATTTTAAACATTAATAATTTTGTTAAATCAAATATCAAAATGTTTTGTTAATCAAAGTCGTAGAGTTTTATCTTTTAAGTAGTAGAAAAAGATAATTTTTTTACGAAATCCGATCGAATTCTCATAAAGAATTCTCAAATTTTAAATCCGCGCCTAAGAATAATTTCTTTGCATGCTCCCATCTTAGATTCATTTGTTTATACAAGTCAGACCCTAATATAAAACTAGAAGTCAGAATAATGTGTTAAAGGAGCATCGAAACTAAGATTCGCAAAGTATGGTTGAAAAAGGATTAATTTGGACGTACATTGGAAGATGATTTTTTTTCCTTCTCTGAAAACACAAGAAGACTATAAATTAATTAAACCATGGCGGCCATTAATCCCTAGAGAAGGATATTTTAACAACCAAAAAATGTCAAAGCCGGTTTCAATATTATTTTAACAAAGAAAATACTAATGTACTTACTGCTTCTAAACTAGAATTAGCCGGCAATATTATGATAATTTATATAAGCCATCTTAATATTAAGCTTAGACTTGCTAGATTCATGTCACAAACGAATACATTACATCACATAAATGCACTTTTTTTTTTTTTTCCTATTGCATGTTTCTATTGATCACTAATTAATCAAACTAATAAATAAATATAAATAAAAAGTGGTTTGTAAATTAATTTCAAAAGTTATAAAAAATGTATGCCTAGAGTTGATTATGGAATAATTCAATTCATTAATGGTTTCCAAAAGTCGGTTAGGGACGTGCAAGGTGTGGGTGGCTATTAAAAATCAATTTTTTTTTTTATAAATTATAATTTACTTTATATTAAAAATTTAACAAAAATTGAAAAGGTATAATATGTTTATACAGTATATATACCTGCTTCAAAGAGGATTTGACATTTAAAGCAGTTTCAAGTAAAATATAAATTGTCATGCACTTTGCTTCAGGATTTATTGATAAAATTTTAGCGGTGTGGATATTGATTGAGCTATAAACTTACTTCAAAAAACGGACTTGATATATGTCAACTAGCCTCTTGATAAATCACAGTCTAATTTTGTATTAAACATGACAGAGAAAGAAAGATTTACCCAATAATCAATTAAGTAAAAAATAATTTAGAATTTCCAGACTGCCACTCTCCTATGTATAATCAAAAAACTAGAAAATATCTTTGTAAAGATAAATATGAAATTAATTAAAAAAGAATTAGCGATATAACTAGTTAAGCAATTTCCTAATTCACCATCAAGATGCTATATGAAGACACACGTATACAAGTAAAGTAGCTCTCTTTCTTATTTTTGTATTCAACAAATGCTTCACGGTACTAAATTAATCTTGAGAAACCCTAATATTTATAAGATGAAAGTTGGGAATATCAAATCAAAAGGTTAATGTCATGATAAACAAAAGATTCTTGAAATGATCGAAGAGAAAAATTAAAATCATCATCAGAACAACATATATCATACTAATTACCAAATAAACTCTAATATAAAAGAAACTACTGGATGAGTTATTTTCATAACAATTTTTTCTAATATAAAAGAAACTACTGGATGAGTTATTTTCATAACAATTTTTTGCAAAAAAATTCAAGAACTGACACCATGTATTCATTAATTAATGAAACACAAACTAATTAACAAAGATATCAAACTCCTTGAATTATTGCAAAGATTACGCAAAAAAATTATTGAAATTATGAAACTGTCGCAGAAAAAAATTGTAATTGACATAGGAACCCATATAAAACTAAACAAACTCTATTGTATTGAGTGGTGCTAATTCTTCATAATTAATTACATTGTCGATTTAAAGTTCTGGAAGAATTCTTTACATACAATTTTCACCAAGAATTCCAAGAAACAAAAAAAATAAAAATAAAAAATAATTAAGAAATATCAAACTGCTGGTTTAATTATCACAACGATTACAGAAATATCATCGATTTTGCCTCCAACGTGCTTGTATTTCGCTTTCTTTGCAGCTCTTGCAAACGGAGAATCTGTTAATCTATCGAACGAATTATAGAGTGCATGTTTTGCTATGTTCTCCGCTAAACTCTCTGGACATATTTCTCCTTTTGTTCCCTTTAGAATTTCTTCAATCTCAGACGGAAACATATTATCAAGTAACCCATCACTTCCGCAAACTACAATATCTCCACTCTCCACCATTACTTTCAACTCTTCTGCAATATCAGGACGATCGCTCTTCTCGCCATTACCCAATTGATATGGACAATTAAAACAACGTTGTTGCATCGGTGACTGGTATATAAATTTCTTGTTACGAAACTGCATAAATCCACTGTCTCCCACATTCGCAGCATGTAAACAATAATCTTTCAAAGTAACAATGCACGCAGTGGAAGAACCTTGAGCCGTAGTGATCGAATAGGCATCTTTCAAAACTTTCTTTGGATTCACCACGGCTTCCTTGGGTAAACCGGATAATGCAATAAGAGAGTTTGTCATGAGTTCACGTGCATATATACCTGCGTCAATCCCTCTTATATTCCAGGCACCAACGCCATCAGCCACCCCGAAAGTCTGCTGCTCTTGACAAACGAAGTGGGCATCTTGCCCAAGTGGCAGTGATACTTCATCTTTAGGGAGATAGAATGATCCCATTGTTATCTGCAGTAATCTTCTCTTGCATGGCGAAACCTTCGATTTCTTCTTTTTCTGCGACGGCAGAACTTCTGGGTGAAGTCTCTTCCGTTTGATTATCATTGGAAGAACCTGAAATTTGATGATAAAATTACCAAGTAATCAAGCGAAGTAGTAATAAAGTAGAGAGTGAGTTTAATAATGGGTTAATTTCAATTCCACTGGAGATAGGAAACTCTTCAATGTAGGAAACTCTTCGATTTCGGAAACTCTTTTTTTGTTTCCTAGTAGAGATATGAAATAAAAAAGGCTGATTTAATTTATCCATCCTAACTATCTTGAAACAACGATCACGATCAGTTCCCTAAGTTTTGAAAACCATCAATGTTGCACCCAATTTTAAATCTCAAATGTTAAAATTAACAATCAAAGGACATTTATATCTTTCTTTCCATCATATACAATATTAAAAGAAAATAAACCCTAATCTCCCTCAATATTCTCTTAAATTACAAAAATTACCCAAAATCAAGTGTATACAAAAACCTACTAAAAAATATATATATAATAATAATAAATGAATTGTTTATTAATCTAATTTGTGATTATTTAAGTGCCACCATTTATACAAAATCTTGTTTTGTCTTTAAAAAAGAAAAAAAAAATTATAATAGTAATACCACCGTGATACCACATCAGAATATTTTAAATTAGAATTAAATTATTTTTTTGACCTATGTTTAATGCTTCTCACCATGGGATTTAGTAAATGGAATTAGGGGAAGCACTAAATTAATTCATCCCTCCTTTGGCTTTATCTTGTTTAATATTAATAACTCGGGAATAGATAAAGATTGACTTAATAATTATATTAATCATATAGTGTAATTACTACATATTAAAAATTGTGCGATTGACAAAGAAAACCGCCATAAATAATGGTACAAGCGAGCTTCATTAATTATATACCACTTTTAATTAGACAACATTTGAAGAGTACCAATAGTGAAGGGGCATATTCAGAAATCTCTGTTAGGGTTTGCCAAATTAAAAATTAATTACACATTAATTTTTTTGTCCATTAATATTTATGTTAAAACGGATCAAAATTTGGAAATTGTATATATTAATATATTTTTTTTAAAAAAAATTGAGGATGGTCCACTAGAGTAGCATCCGCCACTGCCAATAGATAAAAAAAAATATATTTATGTCTATACAATTGCTAGAAAAAAAAAAAAACCTTCATAATACTAGATCCCAATACATTAGATACTATAGTTATGGCACCAATTTGAGCTAAATTGATTAAATAGAGTAATAGACTATAAATATGAAAGTTTCATATTGTATTAATAGTTTAATATGACACATATATAATACGAATTTATGTTTAATATTTTCAAATTATTAATATAATTAGTCATGTTATGATAATTTCAAATTTATATTTAATCTACAATCATTTTTTTTTTTTTTTCACTAGCCTAGCTACTTATTCTGTCACGAGTTATATTATATGTTAAGAATACACTATTTTTCTCATTTTTTAAATTATTTTTTGATGATATATATAATAGTCTACCCGTAAAACTCAATTTTAAAATAGTCCCTATGACTACTCCACTCTTCACTTGGAGGGTTTCACAAACTATTTCAGCTTTAAGTCATAATGTACAACAGATATTAGTTAACAAACACTATAACTAATGGACCTGAAATCTCCAGCAAGTCAGTTGAGTTTCCCAAAGAAAAAGGTTATATTTAGAAATTTCTAGCGCTATATAAATAATTTGTGAATCATAAACCCTTAATAAAAGTTTTCTACCAACTCCAGATAGTCTATGAACCAGAGATGAAGTTTAGCTTGACAGCTAATCAAAGACATACATAATGAACGTAAGAACTTTGCAACTTCTAGCATTAACCAACTGAAGTATGTAATTTGATGATGAGTTAAATCCTCTCAACAGAAACTTCATAAAAGTTCTAACCTAGATGAAACAGAACACAAAAATTCACCAATCCAGATTATAACTAGAAGCAACCATGGTAAAACATAAAGCACACCAAAACAAACCCCATTATCCCTTTCCCTTCCATCTATAGGCCATTTGAGTATACATCCAAATTTATAATGGTGCTCTAACAGAAAATAATTTATATTTATCTTCTGCAGGATTACCGGATGTAAATTTTTGCTTTACATCTTACAGTGGTTTTAGTTCAAACAATAATCAAGGTATCGACTAGCAAATACATATAAATTAGCACCTTTCTCGCGTCACACCATAGATAATGTCATCCCAGCATCGCCTGTGAATCTGTATCAAATAGCACATTACTTTCTCAGAGCATCAAAGATGTTCTTAACAACTCCAAATTATGCAGTGATCAACAATGTGGCCTGGCCACACACCTTGTGCAGCCCAGAAGTAATTTATGACTCACCTCTTCAGAATGCCTCACTTCTTGCAAGTATGGTGAAAATATACAAATTTTGCGAACAGTAAGACTTAAGCTAGCATATCCTGCACGTGCAGACATCATAACAGAAAATCATGTTTTCAGTTGAATAAAACCCAATTTTCTTATCAGCAATCTTAATTTAGGGAATAATCAAGATTTTGTTAAGCTCTGAGGCATTTGAAAGCTCATTCTCCTTGCATACTGTAGAAACTATCATCCTCCAGGTTTCATAATCAATAACATTTCCTCTAGTCAAAGTACTCAAAACTGTCCATAAACACTCCATATCCCCTACCTGACACAGACCATTGATAAATTTATGTACACTTGCAGTACGAGGCACATGACCCTTGAAAATCATCTCATCCAGAATCGATGCTGCAGCCTTGAACTGCATCCCATCACACAGCCCATCAAAAAGTATCCTATATGATACCACATCAGGAGCACAACCTCGTCTAGGCATGTCTTCAAGCAGATCATTTGCCTCGCTCAATTTTCCCTCCTTACACAACCCGCCAAGTATCACATTATAACTAATAACATCCGCCTTACACCCATTCTCTCCAATCTCATCCAAAACTTTAAAGGCCGCTTCAAAATCCCTTTCATTGCAAAACCCATTAATCATTGCATTATAAGTCACAATATTCATTTTGCACCCATTCTCTCTCATTTCCTCCAATACCCCAAAAGCATCCGCCTTCCTCCCTGCCTTAAAAAGGGCGCTAATGAAAGTAGAATAAACCGCCGTATCCACTTCCATCTCGTTTCTCACCATTTCTTCTTTCAACCTAAAAGCTAAGCTCAACTCACCAACATCACAATATCCTTTTATCAATGATGCATAGACATTCTCATTAGGCCTCACCTTATACACTCTCACCATATCATCCTTCAACTTCGATGCTTGTTTTAACCTCAATTCCAAACAAAGCCCATAAATCAACGTCCCAAAAGTCACCTCATCAGCCTTCAGACCTCTTCTTAGCATTGCACCAAACACACTCCACGCCTCCTTCAATTTCCCATTCACAACACAACCATGAATCAATATATTATAACTACAAGAATCCGCGCTCCCATCTTCCTCCATACGTGCAAAAACTTCCCTCATCTTATCAAACCTCCTGCACTTCAATATCGCACTCAACAATGAGTTAAAAGATTTCACCGTTCTCTGCACCCGAAAACTCGGCATTTCATCGAACACCAGGAGCGCGTGCTCGCACAAACGCGCGCGTCCATAAAAACCTATAACATTGCAGAAGATTATCTCTTCGGGAGAGATGCGAGTGTCTTGCTTGAGTTGATGAAGTATTTGACGCATTTCGTCGAACATCTTCGCGCGACCGAGCTTGGTGATGATGAGGTCATAGTTTAGATGACTGTAACGAAAGGGTTTGACTGGAGGTGTTTGACTGGTGTTTGGGTTAGGGTTTTGAAAGAGTTGAAGGGCGAGTTTGGGGTCTTTTTGGAGGCGGAGGAGGGAGGAGAGTCTGAAGGAAGATATGAGTTTTGGGTTGGTCATGTTTTCTTCTGTTTGAGAGTTCGTTGGGCACCCGCCAAAACATGTTACGCAAATGGCAGTTTAATTAAAGTTCAATTTAATTCTTCTAAATTTATTATTGTAATCCTAATTAATAGAATTTCGATGATTATATAGTTTTGAAGCAGATATTAAAAAACTAATTTAATCAAATTTCAGTTTCTAAGAGAAAGAAATTGATAATATATAAATTTATTTTTTTATTAATTGAGAGAACAAAAAATCTCTTCTAATTCATAACATATTAAAAAATTATATCATAATAAAAATTATTTCTGATTATGATATAAGTTGTTGAGTTAATGACATTTGAAAAGAGAATCATTTTTATTGAGTCCCTGTGTGTTTTGATGTACTAAAACTAAACAAAAAATTGATTAGTATTTAATAAATATGCAAAAGTATCGATAAGAAGTCACAACTAAAAAACCAAAATATAGTTTTCTCAATTGGTATGATCGTGCAGGACAAAGGAGTGGTTGTTCCCAGTTTCATCGAATTGCCCATATGGACGTTCCTCTAAGCACAACCATGTTCCATATGATCATGCGCTCTTCTGCCTCAAATGAAGTCATGTCGGTCGCAACGGCACGACAAAGGCGTTGCACATTCATTCAAATCAAGACAAAAAGTTAAGTACTTAGAATTCAAATGATTTCGCGCCTTTGACAAATCTTGAAAGTCAAGCATTGAAGATCAAGTTAAAATGCATGTATTTCAAGTGGAACATATGTTCCTTGTGGTGACCGTTCCCACTCAAAGATCATTCTTGGCAAAATGTCATTGTTCTAGGAACCCGTGCATGCTTATGAAATTTTATGGGGTTTAAGGAGTTAATGGACCGATCTTTCCCTATGGTGGAATGATCATTCGCGATGGTGGAATGATCGTTCACGATAAACCCTAAAGTTGTACGAAAGTAACCGTTATGTCCAGAATGACTATTCACGATGGCAGAACGCCCGTTCCCCTGGGTTTTGCAGCTTTTCAAAGTTGCATTAAATGCAGTTACGATTTTTTACTTCAAAGGAAAGAGACAGGCGATAAATAAAGCGTTTTATTGTAAAGAAAGACAAAGAGAATATCATGGAAACAAAAGTCTTATAAAAACCATTCTCACATAATCCCTTGAGCTAAAAATCCAAATCAATCATTACTCTTTTGTACTCATTTGAAAACCTTTAAGAGTATTGTTCTTAATGTGTGTTTAAACCTAGTTTAAGAGGCAATCATTCACAAGCTTTTATTCAAACATCTTGCGGGTGAAATCCTGCAAATCTAGAGACGAAATCCTATCAAATTATTGTAAGAGGCAAAATCTTGTCAAGCTAGTGTAAATGACGAAATCCGATTCTAGTGAAACTTCAAGGAGGTTGCCTTAAAGAAATGGATGTAGGAGCCTTATAGATATAATTTCGAACCACTCTAAATATCTCAGCATTTCTTCTCTCTCAACTCATTTATTATTCATTGCATATTTACTTGAACATCATTATCATTTGCAATAAATTCACTACTCATATTTATTACTCTCATCTCATTTATTGCTTAACATTGTTTATCTTCATTGTTCATATTCATGCTCGTTTATTGTTTATCATTGTTATTGTTTTAAGTTCTTAATGTGTGTGGTTGGTGACAATTTTTATTTTGCAATTATTTTTATCGATTTCTATTCACCTCCTCTAGGAATAGTCTACCATATAGGGTTTTACAATTTTAGTTTACTAATATCTGAGAAAGTCATTACTACAATAAGAGAAAATTAATCTGGTTAAGGGTATGGTTGTTGATATAATCAAATGAAACTTATAAAAATGGGTGTGTTTGTTTTAGTATTTTGGATAATATTTTTGAAAAAGTAAGAGTTTAGTGGTAATAACAAGGTAAAATTTAAAAATTAACAAAAATACTCCCTAAGTTTGTTAATTTACTAAACACCCCTATAATAAAAACATTAAAAATTATAAAAACACCCCCACTCACCCACCCATTAGATATCGGCAGCCAGCCACCACCACTGGAAAGTGGTCAAGTCAACGTATCAGCGCACGACCGGCTGGATTTGGCCTATCGTGCACCAAGATGACATTTTCCGTTGGATCTGGCTGGAAAATGTTATATCTACTACTAGATCTGGCCATTGACTGCCAAATCTGGCCGCATTTGGTTGTCAACTACAGTTATATCTTGGTTGTCGTTGACGACTAGCTACAGCCAAAGATCTGGCATTTTCTTGCTAGATCCACGGTGGATCTAGCCGAAAAAGTCTATATCAGCGCACTACCAGCAGTTAGATCTAGCCAGTAGTGCACCGTTATACTAGATTCCGATCACCTTCTGGTGGTGGTGGCCGAAATCTGGCAAATGTGGGTGGGTCGGTGGGTGGGTGGGGGTGTTTTTATCAATTTCTAAACTTTTTTGGGGGTGTTTAATTAAATTAACAAACTCAGGAGATTTAAAAATAATTGAATAAAATATAATAGTATTTTCAAAATAAGGAAACAAATGTGTATTTTGGAAATGATAGGAATATGATAGGGCAAAAATAGGGAAACAATCCCACCCAATTGTAATTTATAAAATCTTAAAAAATTGATGAAGAAAAGAAAAACAGTAAAAGGCTCTAAAATTATAAAATAAATTTAATATGATTTTTTTTTTTTTTTTTTTGCAAGTATGAATTTTTATTTTAAATCTTTATTTTTAGTTGTGAAAAAAATTGTTTATGACTTCTATTAATTTTATTTTATTGTAATTTTATTATGTTAATCTCTAAAGTCTAAACTCCTAATTTTGAAATTTATATTTATTATTCCTAATAAGACAAACGGGGGTATAATAGAAATTTCGATTTCAAAGTATTAGTGAGTCTAACTCTGACTGAGAGACTGAGATTATAATAACTTTTTAAAGATTTTATTAGACTAAAGTAATACTTTCTTCAAACCTCGAGCTGAAAATATTATTAAATATTTACTTAACAATATGTTTTATGGTTAATTAAAGGAGGATTATCTTAATTACAAATTTTTATTTAAAAATCTTATTTTCATTAAAAGATTCTGAATCATAATCATCAATTAATCCAAGCATTACAAAATAATTAATCGCATACAGATTCAAGAAAAAGGAAGAATTAGCCCAAATTTATTCATGGTAGGAAAATTAAGCACATATGTGGATGCATTAAAATGAAGTCAAATGGACCGACCAACTTTGAATTACTGAAAAAAGTAAGAAGGGAATCCAATTCAAGTTATTAAAATACAAAAGGAAGAACAGGTAAGAAAGAAAGTTTTGTTACAAGTGACTTTAGATCTTAAATGAACCGTTGTGCAGTGTCCTTGTATTAGATTCAAAAGCAAATCTGATCATTCTGCTTTGTCTGCTGACGGGTCGTTTTAACCATTCAAAACCACTGCATTTTGCTTTATTCAGAACGTTGACACGCACTTGGTTATGATTCTGGTTTTGATTTTCACCCGTTGTGCCTTAAATCTAAACTTAATAATTACTTATATTTGTATCGTAAGACTGTACGTGTATTTAAGGTTTACCTTTCTTTGATACTTTGAGTGTCACATCAACGTCCAAATTAAGTAGACACATTTTAAGTGAAAGATGCTTGCGTGAAGTTTAAAGGCAAACCCGACTGTGTCCAAAAGTAACAAGTTTAAGGTTTAAGGTTTAAGGATCTTTAATTTAACAATCTATATCAAGGCGATGGAACGAATGTGACGATGACTTTAAAGTAGGTGTATACGTCTTCATTAGAACAGACTCACTACCCAATAAGGCGACTGTGACGACTTCAAAGCACAAGATTTGGCATCAAGATTATTGAATCAATTATCTTAAAATTATATAACATATAATTAATATGTAGTATGAATATAAATTATATATAATAGCTCGTCAATGGCACACATATCTATTCATGCGAATACACATAAAAGTAAAACAAGGGATGTAAAGCTTGGTGTATTATACTAAAAAAATGGTGTACCAGTACATGCAGCAGTAGATGAATACATGCAATTTTTAGTTGTACAAAGCTGGAGTGGCAAGACAAACTTAATTAGGGTTTCTTTTTTGACTTGAACCTTTTTGACCATTTGCTTTAGATGCATGGAACGTGGAGGGTGAAGTTTATGAGACGAAACTAGGCTTTGCGGAAGTTAATTATGGAGGTCGTGGCACCCATAAGCCATGAAAGGAAAGCTTCAAAAGCACCAAAAAGCCTGCAAAACTCAAAAGAAGCAAAAGCAACCAACATCATTTTGGAAGTTGAGTCCGAAACAGGCAAAATATTGTCTTTAAAAAAAGTAGATCAAGAAAAATGCAAATATCAACATCAAGCAAAGGGAAAATGAGAAATTGAGTCGAGAAATGAGAATAACATAAAGCCATTCATTATCATCTTCATAACTTTCTTTTATACATTTTCAGTATTCTCCCCATCGAATTTTATTTAAAAATGAAAAATCTAATTGTTGTTTTCTTTCATTATACATTATTAAAAATGAAAATGAAAAGGAATAAGAAACAAATATGTCATCTGTTCATCTGAAAGAAAAATTAACAAAAATGCAAAACCTGACTCACAATTAGGTTAAAATGAACTCAACTGTAAAAAAAATGGGAGTGTTTGAGTGCGTACATTTATACAGAAAATCCGCCACCTGCAAGCCTTCTTTGCTTTCTTAAGTTTGGAGAACATTTGATCTTCTGAGCATATGTTTCCCGGCGAGTCCAAGTAAACTTTCCGACGTACGGGAGGAGACCACAGCCCGCTCTGCTCATAATCAAAATCATACTGTAACGCGTCGAAGAATTTACCAAGCAGCCTGTCAGATGCAGTTTTCGAAACCATTTGAATACTGGGACTGCTTGCAGAAGAACTCCCAGTCTCCGTACTGCTACTTTCCAATGTCTCTGGTGAAGAAGAAGCTTCAGACATGGCGGCAGCCATTGGAAACAACTAACAAGAAGAGAACGATGATGATGATGATGATAAAGGTTTCAGAAGTTAAAGAAGGTTAATTGGAGTAATCAAGATGGGGAGTTGTGGGTTGTATGATAGAACGTGTTTGTAGCAGAAATTAAGAAAGAAAAGGCGAAGATGTGGTCTCTGAAACTTGAGACAAATTATCTGGCATGGGACCTGGCTAATTAGCTTCAGATTGATGTATGTATATTATATAATATATCTAAGAAGCTTGTATTATTAAGTACCGTTTGGATATATAGGATTGACTTGTCAATTTAAAGGGCTTTTTTTTATCTTTTTTCTGTTGAGAAATCAGAATATTGTTTGAATTTTGAATTGTTTTGTATTTTGTGGACTGAGGTGCATAAGGATCTCTTCAAGCACAAGAGTTACGTTATTTAGTCCATTGTCAATTTGTCATTAGCTGGAGCAATTCTTTGATTTTGAAAATTGATATATTGGTAGCTCCGCAATAATATTATGATATTAACTATTTTTGGGTGGTCGAGTGATTCGATAAGAACTATCAGGTGTATTATTCAAGAGGTCCTAAATTCGAGTTTCTCCTCGATTGCTAATAAGGATAGCCAAACATTGGAGCTCTTACCCGACCGGTAGTTCTAGGGTCTCGGGAGATTAGTTGAGGTGTGTGTAAATTGGTCTGGACACTCTCGGTCAATATAAATAAATAAATAAATAAAAATATATATATTGGGACACAACACTAATTTGACTAACAAATTCTATTGTTAAATACATGGTTCATGATCATTTAATTACGCAGGGATTGATCAACAATTAGTAATTGACCATCTTTGACTTTAAAAGATATATTAGCTTTTAATAAATGAATTTTTGTTAGAAAACAAAAATATATAGCATCATATAAATATATAATACAATGTTATGCTATGTATTTTGCTTCATATTATATATGATATATCGCATGCCAAACATAGTTAAAGAGTACTATAAGTTATTCAATTTGGATGAATAAATGCGGGGTGCTACAAATTTAGACGATACTTTATTCAAGTAACATCAAGATTAAATACATCGCAAACTCAGGCTACTGATTGTTTCCACAAGATATGAGTTAAATTTGAGATTGAAAAGTTTGACTTGGCAATTAAAACTATAATAGTGTTTGGTTTTGTTAAGTGTTAGTAGGTAGGGCGCAAGAAACTGACTGCTAACTGGTAATTTTCAATTTTGTGAGGGCAGCGTCCCATTGGATCTCTTATGACCATATTGGATCTTACCAAGAGTGGTTTTGGTCCGATGATCAACGTCAACATACTAGTTGAAACTTTTGTTCACTTTATAAAAAGTCACGTTACAAAAGTTCACTGATAGACATTATCATTACAACTTTTGATAAGCTTGCAAAATTGTGTGTACCATAATTCTATCTCACTATATCAGCCAATATTTTTCTTTTCTTTTATGTTTATTTTATTTTATTTCCAATTACTAATTTATTCTACACATTTAATGATTGATGATAAAAAAGAAAAAAAAATTAATACTAGAAAATACTTTAAAAACACATTCATTTTCTAAAAATTAGTGTAAATTTGTGCACATAATTCTTTTTATTGTCAAGAAACCTTTTTTGAGAATCATACCCCTAATTTTCTATTTTTTTACTTTATAAATAATATATAACCAATCTCTAAGTGGCCGAGTGGTTTAATAGGGACTTTTTGGTGTATTATTAAAAAAGTTTCGAGTTCGAGTCTTTCCTAGGTTGCTAATAGGGGTGATCACTAAAACTCTTACCAAACTAGTAATTTCAGGGTTTCGAAGATTACTTGAGGTATTGTAAACTGACTCAAACACTCTAGATCATTAAAAAAAAAAAAAGATAGAGATCAGTTGGCAAAACCATGAGAAAGTCTATGATATCACATTGGTATTTTTGACTTGGTATCACAAGACAATTCATGCATAACAAATAATTATTACATTTAACCCAGCTCAACATGTAACATTAAGCTTGATCCAATAGACCAAACTAAAGACCTCCGATTTTTAAGGCCTCTACCCAGTCATATAACTTTGGGCTTGATCTATTATGTTAAATTGGGCTTGATCCAATGGGTGTAATAAAAGCCCTTAGGCTTCATGGAGTTTGACCCAAATTACCTGACATTGCAAACTGAAGCCCTTGGGCTTCTTAGGCTTAGCCCAATAACAAAACTTTGGGGTTGAAAAATTAAAACCTTCGGCTTGTTAGGCTCTAGGCGAATTCAACAAAATCTGCTCCCGCTCATTTCACTTCACGAAAACCCCATCAGAAACCCTCATTTTCCTTCAAGCCTAAAGAAACAACTTTCCCCGGGAAACAAACACACTTAACACTCACAGATCTCCTTTCCCCCGCCCCAAAAATGAGAGAAGAAGAGATCGAGAAGCTTCGCGGAGTGGTCCGTGACTGCGTGAGCAAGCACTTGTACTCGTCAGCTATATTTTTCGCCGATAAAGTTGCGGCGCTGACGAACGACCCCGCCGACGTCTACATGCAGGCTCAAGCTTTGTTCCTCGGCCGCCACTACCGCCGTGCCTTCCATCTCCTCAACGCCTCGAAAATTGTTCTCCGTGACCTCCGATTCCGTTATTTGGCAGCCAAGTGTCTGGTAATAATCATTAATTTTCAAATTTCATTGCTTTTCAATTGCATCTATTCGAGTTTTTGTGCACAATCTGTTGAATTTGAGCGGAAAAATTGTGACTTTTGTGCGTTGAAATTTGATTTATTGATACGACTTTATCATTTTTGTTTCTCGCTTATGAATAAATAGGAGGAACTGAAGGAGTGGGATCAGTGTCTATCAATGCTTGGTGACGCTAAGGTTGATGAAGATGGGCATGTATACGACACAAAAGATAGCAATTTTATGTACTTAGATAAAGATGGGGAAGATAGAGAAATTAATGTAAGTTTTTTCCACATGTTAATTGATCTTTTCATTTATGTTTTACTGTTGCAAGCTGTTATGGAAACTTGTATTTTCTTCACCTACTCTTTTTTTCTCTCTGAAAGATTTCTTCGGCAATATGCTTTTTGAGAGGCAGAGCATATGAAGCTTTGGAAAACCGTGCCCAGGCCCGGCAGTGGTTAGTGTTTCCATTCCATTTTACTAAATAAACAGAGTTTCTTTCTTTTGGCAATCATTTCGCTTATTATGTGATGCTTTATGCTAATTTTTATTAAGTGTTTCAGTCAAAATGGTAATAATCGACTGTCTAATTTTATTTGTTACTACATCATATTATAATCATCAAGGTCTATTAATAAGACGATATCCACAATTATGTTTATCTGATCCCCTTGAAAAAGTGAATTGATTTTCTTTTATTGGATTGGAAAATTCTAGATACGTATGCCATTTATGTAACTTAATGAAAACATATATATATATTTTTTCATTTTCATTTGCTAAGCCGATCTTTTATGAGTATATTAAGGTTTGATAAATATGGTCGTTTGCGAGGTCTTCTTTTAGGACACCACTTGAAGAAACATGCAACATGGCTTGGGTAGACCGGATATTCTGTCTTGGGTAACTCAATGGAAAATTCGATGAGACAATTAAATTTGATTACGTCTTATTTGTTCTTGGACCCAATGGTGGGACAGAAATAATAGTGTTTAGATGGTTCAATTTGAGAAGGGTGCTAGAGCTGGTGTGCTTTCACTTAGAGTCTGGATTGCATAATGGAAGGCCACATTAATTTGTTGCTCTAATTGCTCATAGATTTATATATGCTAAATGATTGGCACTTCCAACCATTATTAGTGTTGTTTCTTTTGCTTCTTTTTCTTTCGGTCCTTGTATGAACCTTCTGGCTGCTATGCAGAAACAAATCAGTGACACCATTTGGTCATATAAGTCAATTTGGTTCTGAAAACAGAGTGACTGATTTGCTGGTTCTTTCATGTTGCTTTATTATTAAGATTTTAGACTAAATTTTTAGGCTTATTGTTTTAGAATTTAAAACTAATAATACTTTAATGCCTTTTGTTACCTACACCTGATATTGATGCTAGAAGTTCATGTTGTGTGACACAGTGTCTTCATTTTTTCCAATCAGAATGAAAGTGGCATTTATTTCTGTTAGATAAGGTCCTTCTTCAAGATACTTTTTGAGTAACTAACGTTGTATCATTTACTGCTTTACTGAGCTCATCTTTGTAATTCCTTTCTTTCAACACGAGTGCTCTGCTATGTTCTTTTCCTCTCTTTTGTTTTCTCTTCTTTTTTTCTCCATTCTCTCAATTTTGTTGAAGAGAAACTCCATATGTTGTTCAAAAGCTCATTAGATCTACTCTTTGATGATGATCTAAGGTACAAAGCCGCAATCAAAGCTGATCCTTTGTGTTATGAGGTATGCAAGACATTTCAATTGTTGTGTCTTCATTCATTTATCTTTTGGGATGGCAGGAGCTGAGAAGCTTCCCTTGCTTCACAAAACCCCAAAAAAAAAAAAAAAAAAAAAAAGAACCCAGCTGCTTTTGAGTTTTGTGCCTTAATAAAGTTGAGACTTGGCTTTCTGAAAAATGTTGGAGTATCCATGTTGCAAGCTTTTGTAAGTTGTTTTGCCTTCTCGAGGATTAATTATGTACTCTAAAATGTTTGTCCTTGACTTTTCTGACTGTGGGGCCTTTTTTGTTCTAATTTTCCCTTCGTACAGCTGCTACTGATTGCTTAGATGTTTTATGGATTTATGATACATGTTCCCAATAGATAGTATAATAATTTCATCATTATGGTTTTCTTCTGTCTGTACCTAAATTGTTTTTCAGGCTTTGGAATGCCTTATTGAAAAGCACATGCTAACGTGTGAGGAAGGTACTTGTTCTTCAAACCAATCTTCTTTGAGGTTTTCCTCCAGTAATATTTCATGTCATTTGAGAGAAGTGAATTATAACTATGTTTTCTAGTTGAAATTCTAGTTCACATGAATGAATATATTTATACTTATATTATAGTATATTTCATATGGAAATTTCATGCTTGTGTATATATGTGTTATACGTGGCAAAACTTTTCTGTGTCTGTCTTGTGCTACCATTTGATATTTCTACATGTTCATTTTATTTTGCCAATGCATTGCTATAGATAATTTTTCTGCAGATGATCCAATATTTAAATTTGTTATATTTACCACTGAATTTCAGAAACAAGTTTACTTTCATCTTTGGAATTTGGTCCTGAAGATGGATGGCTCTCGTCATTTTACTCATGTTTGATAAAAAAGGTGAACAGTACACAACTTGAATATAAGCTAGTCCAGATATAAAACATTTGCATAAATTTATAAATTTTCTATTCATTTTACTGGTATTTAATGATATTTTATTCTTGCTGTGTGCTTGCATGTGCTGAACAATTTTTTTTTCTCTTTTCCTTGGCCCTCTGGTGTTACTCAGTATGACAAGGAGAATGTCGTAGAAGCCAAATTCAGAGAGCTTGAAAAAGAAAGCTGTGATAGTAATCATTTGGGCCCATCCTTCCCATGTACTCTGAAAAACAATACCGATCTTTTGGCCTGCAAAGCTGAATACTACCATCAGTGTGGTGAATACCAAAAATGCTTTGAACTAACCTCCGTGTAAGTGATAAATTTTGAACAAAATATGGCTACGTTATGTTCCTGAGATGCTCTACTAAACTCTCTCTCTCCCCTTCTTGTTTGTTAAAGTCTGCTTGAAAAGGATCCTTTCCATCTAAAATGTACGTTGGTACACTTAGCTGCTGCTATGGAACTTGGACATTCAAATGAACTTTATCTAATGGCGTGCAATTTAGTGAAGGATTATCCTCAAAAGTAAGAATGTGAATTTTAATGTTCATTTATTACATTTATGGTTTTCTTTTTATTTTTTATTTTATAGAAAAAATTAGGAAGAGTGAGGTAAGGATTAATAGAAAAGATAAAAATTGGGAAAAGAAAATATAGGACCTGATGGAATTGCTTTTGAGGTTTGAAGGTTTTGGGTAAATCAAGTGTAATCTGGCTAGAAAGTTTGTATGTAAGGATTTAAGAAAATTGCATCAAAGTGGTTTAAGTCCTAGCGTAGTGGCATTCAAAGAGCAGTGGAAGCTCAGGATCTTTCTTAGATCTCAATAAGGCCCCTAAAAGGAGCAGTATTCTTGTCTGGAGATAGGATTACTAGCTATTTAAAGAGTAAAAAAATAAAGGAGAAATCCGTCCTTACATAAAAAGAAAAATTTAAGGGAATGACAGGATAAAAGTTAAGAACTTCATAAAGGGAACTAGATAATTAGGTGATTGAAACTTTAATAGAAATGTACCCCATTTGATGTTCATGGGCTTAGGGGAAAATGTATGAATCTGGAAATGAATTTGTAATGGAAACCAGTGGCTGCAACCTTTAATGACCAACGAGAGACAGAATAAAGTTGGTTTGAGTGCTCAACCATTTATTTGGTTTAAATATGATGGTGCAGGGCTAGATTAGACGTTGGGCGATCAAATTGTAAATTTCAGAGTGTTTTTGGCACCACCCAAAATCCTTATGATAAGGCTATATGGGACCTTGTGCAATTAAAATGTGAAATTAGGAATGTTTTTACTTTCTAGTTGCACCCAAAAGCAATAGTAGAAAGCTGAGGATGCTTCTTTTTAATCTATTTTATAGTATTTGGCTGAAGTAGAGAAAAGTATATTTGGTTTGTGGGTGGGGAAGAAGTACTAGGATTGCCTCCCACTTACCAGGATTAGGGGATGGGAGTAAAGGGTAAAAGAAGATGGTTTGCCGATTTTTGGTAAATGTAAAAGCAAAAGAAAATGAGAAATTGAAATCTTGTCTCTTTTAGATCTTGGGAATGATTGCTTTTTGATTTGCTTAAACTTCTCTATTCAAGTACTTACAGGGACTTTGAACCTTTTAGGGCTTTATCCTGGTTTGCAGTTGGCTGCTACTACTATTGTATAAAGAAGTATGCCCAATCACGCCGTTTTTTCAAGTAAGCATCACAAATTACTCAGTTGCTCATTGTTATGTATTCTTCCATTGTTAGCTCCATTACTTTCAATGTTGAATTTGTAAGTTCTTCGTCCTTTTTTCTCTAATATGATAAGAGGTAAAGTTTTTATTGTTAGATTCTGGAGATTCTTGTATTATGCAATCATATTATCTTTTTTCACTTTTGAAGACCTCATGATGCTGTTAACTTGTGATGATACTAGAGTTCATATGGGTTTTCTTTGAAACATCGGTGCTCTTGGTTGTGCAATTGCCAAATTTTAGAATACCAAATGAGATCATTTTTCTTGCGTAGTAAATCATCCTGGCATTGGGTTGGTATTGAGTTCTGTAATATGAGTCAGTAGATTATTATGGGTTGTAACTGATCCAACTTGTAAAGCTGTTGATTAGAAATTACCAGATCTTTCAATACTTATTCCACCTGTGTATATTAGATTTGCCTATTTTTTTAAAAACAAAAAGATTGGTCTGATTGCTTGTTGAATTTTGATTTAATGACTCTTAATTGGATTCTTTGGATCCATTTTAGTTTTTCCTTAACATCATATGTTACCTAGCACTAGTATATATTGAATTTACTGTTGTATCCTTATTGCTTCTCTATCTCTCTCTCTCTCTCGGGTACCAAAGATGTGCACAGCTATTTTTGTTTTTACTTTTTAAAATACATTTCTTATTTTATCAAAAGAACTTCATTGCAGTTTAGTTTCAAATTATATGTTATCTAGTCACTGGTTATATGTTACTCTTATTAAAAATTTCCTTTTTTTTTTTCTAATAAGAATTGAGGTTATAAGAATTAGATCTGATTTCTTGTTGTATCTGTTCACTACAGCAAGGCTACAAGTCTTGATGGGACATTCCCGCCCGCTTTGATAGGTTATGGAAATGCCTTTGCTGCTCAAGAAGAGGGTGATCAAGCGATGTTGGCTTATCGCACTGCTGCTCGTTTATTTCCAGGGTAATTTTTAGTATTATTTTGTTGGATTTGTGTTCTCTGTCTAAGGTTGGATTTTTTTGGTTGCATATTTAGCAATGGAGTGAGGAGACTGAATATAATAATATGGCTCTTAGCTTTGTGCATCTTTGATGACAGTTTAGCATTTACGCTTTTTTTTCCCCATTAAAGATATCTTAATTTGTTGATCAATTTGAATGATACTGGTTTTGCAGATCTTACTTCTGTTGATCTTTTTCAATTCTTTATTTATTGAAGTATATTGTGATGTGGGTAATTATGTGGGTAAATTATGTTCTGATCCTTTGAGTTTGAATCATGCCTCAATTAGTTTTCAAGTTCTGTAATTGGTTTATCTGATAGAACATTGATATATAATACTTAATACCATCTGAATATTGATATATAATAATTAACACCATGTGAATATCGTTGTTCAGCTGTTTTTTGCATACACATTTTTTTGCCCACATGGGAATTATATGTTGATGTGTCAAAATCATCTTCCTATGGGTAACAATTATATTGTCATGACCACCCATGACACCACCTTTCTCTTGCCATACTCTTCATGTCTTCCCATGTTCACTTCTTAGTCACATCTTGGGTTGTTAGCTCTTTTATAGGCGGCAGCCTGGCAGGGTTGTTTGGCAATAAGTTGCTGTACAAGTTATAGAACCTTTTTTATCGTCAAAGAAAACCTTCTGATTAAATTTGTTGGGAATCTGGATCTGCATTTTGGGCTTCCACTTATTTTATTTTATTTTTGTATTTGGGTTATGCTCCTATGAAGTCTTGATAAATGGATTTATAATTATATGTTTTTTTTTCCCTTTCAATGATTGGCATTTGAAATCCCTTTATTTGTTTCTTAGCAACATACTCTAGTTCTGATAAAAGTTATTCATCGCATGAAGTCAGGGTATAGTCCTTGTAGTTTTCTTTTTGGAATAAAACAAAATGTCATAAGTAGTTTTTTTGGTCATTAATATCCAGTGTTTCATTAATTATTTGCTTAATGATGCATTGCATTGGATTGCAATGTGGGAGTACTCTTATTATTATGAATTGTTCTTTTACAGGTTGAATGTTGATATTCTCTTATTCCAGGTGCCATTTACCAACTTTATATATCGGGATGGAATACATGCGAACTCACAGCTTTAAGCTTGCCGAGCAGGTGCTCTATCATCCTGTAAACATAGGCAATTATCCATTTTGTTATCTTCATAATTTTGATTACCCTGTCCATTTTCCAGTTTTTTATGCAGGCAAAGACCATATGCCCTTCAGATCCACTTGTATATAATGAACTGGGGGTTGTTGCTTATCAAATGAAGGAGTAAGGAACTTTTGTTTTCTTGAATTAATCTCGTTGCAGATGCTGTTTATCCCCATTATGAACCAGCCCTTGAACAAATTTTCTGTCTATATAAAAATTAGCCCATACTTATCTTTTATTATTATACCCAGACATCCTTTGATCGCCTCTTGCTTTCCTGAGTCTTAAATTGGAGGCTATTTCCAGACACTACAATCTAGATAGTAAAGAAACTTGCAGGATACAATATGCCAAGTAACCTTTTATCAGAACCAAGGCTTTTTATCACTAGGGCCAACATCATTTCCAATTAAACTGTATTTAGAAAAAAATGATTATGAATTATATCCTATTCCTAAGATATAGTATTACTAGAGCCTTTGAAATCTTCAGTGAATTAAACTTTCTGTGCTTAGGCTCTTTTTTTTGAACAAGTATAAGGTCAACAATTTTAACAAGCACTGTTTTTTCATTTGATACTGGTAGGTATAATAAAGCTGTGTGGTGGTTTGAGAAGACTTTGGCGCACATCCCATCCTCTTTAAGTGAAATGTGGGAACCAACCGTGGTCAATCTTGCTCATGCTTACAGGAAGTTGAAGTATGTCGTTAATTAAAATAGCATTCATCTTTCAAAATATCTGGTTTTTTATTATATGCCTATCCTTTAAATAAGGATCCCTTTTTTCATGATATATAACATATCCATTCTAGTGATTGAGTATATAATTGTACTTAACAAAACATATATTTCAGAATGTATCACGAGGCAATTTCCTGTTACGAGAGAGCACTGACATTGTCAAATAGAAGCTTGAGCACCTATGCAGGTCTTGCTTACACTTACCATTTGCAGGTATCATGGTTTTTTTATTTCCGTATTCTTGCTCAAGCAGTTAAGACCTGTTTTGTTATACTAGAAATCTTAAGTTTAGAATTTTAAAATAGCTTTAATGTTCATTATATAATGGTAACTTTGATTTTTATCTCTTGGTTCTATTGCAGGATAATTTTTCTGCTGCCATTACATATTATCATAAGGTAATTTGCAGAGTACTAAAGAACCTTGTTTGTCATATTCATTCATTGTTAAAAAGAAATATGAAACTCTGAATTTCTAATTTTAATTTGCTTATAGTTTTTTCTTTTCCCCTAATTTTCTTTTCTAATTTCCAAATTAGGCTTTATGGCTGAAGCCAGATGATCAGTTTTGCACGGAAATGTTAAGTTTGGCCCTTGTAGATGAAGGGCGCCATGGCATTGACCCCAAAATCGAATTTCGCTGAATCGAGGTTGATATTTAATGATTTTGATAATATTATTTTCCTTCATGTTGTAATGTATATGTAATCTATTACTCTCATGCTACTCTCATGCCTATAACAATGTCTTGGATTTTCGCTAATGATAGAGGCCTGGTGCTTGATTTGTTGAAATCTGAAAGCTGAAGAGTTGCTGTAACTGTTGGCGCTGTATTCCTTTTGCGTCAGTTGCAATATGAAGAATGTGAAAGTGATCACTGATTTGAAAGTTATAGAGCATTCAGAATTTCTCAAAAATATCTTATTAGATTAACAATATTTGGTATGCTGTAGGATAGATTTGTCTTTCGGTGAAGGAGTAAATAGATTTAGAACTTTTTTTTTTAATAGCTTAATGAAAACAAGGAAAAAAAAAAAAAGTGTCGTGTGGGTAATAATTTATAATAGGATTATAGGAGTTATCTTAAATCTTGTGGTGTGTGAGAATTTGAGATTATAATCGTATCTTTCATAGGATATTTGATATGTAAATGATAGATGCGAGGTGGGTGTTTGAATTATGTCCAGAATATAAAGTTATTTTAAGTATCATAATATACAAAGATAAAATGACAAATCTTGAATATTAGAAGAAAGTTTATGTAGATTAAAATTTACAAACATCCGATACAGTAAAGTGAAAACACTCCACACATGAAAGCAAAATCAAGTGTTAACCTTTTAGGATATTTTGGAGGTCAAATTGGAGTCATTAAACCAATTTTTGGAGGTTGGTCGAGTGATTCAACAGAGATTTTTGAATATATCACTCAAAAGATCTTGAATTCGAGTTTTTTTTTGGGTGTTAATTGGAGTGATCATTAAAGTTCTTGTTTAGTCGGTAATTTTTGGGTTTCGGAGAACTACTTGAAAACTTGAGATATGCGAAAATTAGACTGCACACCTTTGGTCATTAAAAGAAAAAAATAGACTGAGTCACTAAAATTTTCCTCAATTATCTTTGCTAAGCGTTCCCCAAGGTGTTAAATCATTTTTCCAACGTTGAATCATTTTTCCAATCTCCCACTATACCTTTTCTGAAAAAGGTATTCATTTTTCATCCCGATGAAATGTTTATCACTGTTATTCACCTCTAAATTTTTCATTTATCAAAAGTCAAAACGAATTCTTTATAAACTTCTTTTATTACTCCTTTAATCTCATCTTTCTCCTTTCACCTAAAAAAGTGGGCCAATTTCTTGATATAAAACTCGATATCCTCTTTCAAATCTTCGGCTTGTTAGATACATGTTTTTGAAAAATGTTATTCTAAAAAAGTATTTTAAGTTGAGTTGAATCAAATCGAATTGGATTTGAATTTGAAAATGTGTTTGGTAAAATATTTGAAAATTATATCTGAGTTGAATAAAATGCTGAATAGTTATTTGATACATTTTTTTAAAAAGGTTTCTAAAAAATAATAGTTGTTTGGTACATTTTCTGAAAATATTTAAATTATTTTAACCCCTTATATTTGTTAATTTAGTTAAACAACTCCACAATAAAAGTTTAAAAATTAACTAAAGCATCCCAGCCACACTTATAATAATAATAATAATAATAATCTGACAATTCTGGTCATTGACAGCCAGATCTCTGACAATCGTTGACAACCAAAATCTGGTTGTTGTCAATGGCCAGATCTCGACTAGAATCTGGACATCAACGGCTAGATCGCCGCACGACTAACTAGATTCAATCGGTCATGCGTTGTTTCGGCCGCGGTGGTTGTTGGTAAGCGATGGTGAATTAATTTTCAGAATGGAAGGAGAGAAAAATGAGAAAGGCAGTCTAGGATTATTGATATTTTGCAGGGTCTGGAAAGAAAAATGGATGAAAAACACAATCAGCTGTCTGAGCAAATTGCAAACCTTCACTCCACTTTGCATGCAAGATTGGATGTTTTGGAAGAACTGGTAAAGAAGACCAAAGTTGACCTGAATTCATCCCCTGATGTTGATCATTCCACTGCTGATCCAGATCAAGAGGAACAACAAGATGCTGCCCAAGAAGTTGCTGATCAACAAGAGGCTGCACAAGCAGCTGCTGTTTTAGCATATATTCAAGAAGCTGATCAAGAAGGTGCAAATCAACGAGAAGAAGTTGCAGCACAACAAATCCCTACAGATATTCAAGCTGATGATGTACTTCCAGAACTTGCTATTTCTGAACCTATTGTGCCTACACATGGGAAGAAAAAAAAGACCTTGGCAATAAAGGAGAAACTTCCCGTCAAAAGATCATCCAGGCGTCAGAAATTATGAACAAGTAAGGGGGGTAGTTTTTGATGTCTTGACATGGGGGGATAGTTGATGTGCTGACACTGCCGAAGAAGATGCTGATGAAGCTTTATTTATTTATTTTTTTGCTTTGATTACATGTTGAACTGATTTTCATTTTCTGGTTTTTACTTTGATTTGCAGAACTATTTCTTATTATTATCTGCTTATGCTTTGTTTTGAACTAATTGCTTATGCAGTTGTTTCCTTTTGTTTTGTGCAGAGAATGTTTGCTGATTTTTTCTGCCAAGTTTTGTTTATGAACTGCATTTGCTAATGTAGTTTTTCTTTCATGTGCAGAGAAATATTCAGTCCTTGTTTGTGTGAACTGAACTAACCCTTTGTTATATTGATTGGTAATCACTTGGAAGTGATTTGGTTTAGTTACTCAGGGGGAGTATACTAATTGAGGGGAGTTATTCAGTTTAGTTTGATTTAACTTAATGCAAAACTGTTTTTTGATTGATGATATTGATTGTGTTTTGCTTAAGTTCTCCTTGATGTTTTTTTGTTTCTAACTTATCTCTATGCCTCAATGATTATGCTTCTTACGAGATATGTTTTTATGTTGTGTTTATCACTTGTCTCTTGTTGATTAATTGAAGTTGTGTTTGAGATAGATGCGTTTATGAAAAGATTATGCTTTATTCATAAATTTGACAAAGGAGGAGATTATAAGTATTTTTGTCAAATTATGAATTCGGTGTGGTAATACTGATTTTTTATGTCGTAACATCACCTTGTTTATGCATAATCATTTTATGTTTTTCTGGTGGAACCACACTCATTGTCCATGTGGTAATACAAGCCTAGCAAGATATTTATATACACATGTTTTGACTCCAATTGATGTTAAGATTTTATTTTTATCTGAGACATGTGTAAGTGATCATAGTACACTTGTAATTAGCTCATTAGGTGGGTCAGAAAATCCGCTTTGCTTTATTGAGGTCCATAGAAAGTTTGGTGAAAACTCTCCCAAAATGGCTAAACACAAAAAAACATGTTGGTTGATTGTCCTCTTTTATTGGTGCACAAGTTTCTTTATATTTATCTTCTCTAATGCATTTTATTTAAAGCTTGAATATACCTCTATAAGTTTTCTGCATATTCTTTGAGATTTCTTTTGTTTTGAATCAGGTTTTATAAGCTTTAGGTAGGTTTACAAATACCTTGTTATGTTATGTTGTTCACGGGTGGGATATGGGTATTCCATAGATGATGCTTGATGGGATTTCAAGCTAACAAAGCTTAATTGCATCTTCGACATTGAACCTTGAGAGGAGCTTAAGGGTAACTAGATGGTCTCGTGGAGTGAAGCTAGCTTGGTAGTTCGAAATTCAACTAAAGGGTGAAGTTGAAACATTGTCATAACGGGGAGTGTTTTGCAATGATGCTTAACTTTGACTTTGTAATTGAATTATAAATGTCTATCATAGTGGATTAACTTCATCTGGACATAGTCATATGGATGTAGACAGATTGTCAAACCATATAAAAATGTGTTGTGTGCGTTACATTTTGTCTTGGATACATTGTTTATATTGATGATTAAAAAGCCAACACAAAACGCATAAATGAACATGTTAACCCATTCCGCTTAGGTTTAATCTACTTGGTGAAGTGATAAAAACTTTCATGGAGAGAAAGAAAAATGTTTTTCAGTTGAATAAAGTTAGATAATCTAAAAGCAAATTCCACCCTCTTTTGATTTTTAGACAAAAACCTTATTTGAGTTGGATTAATTTTTAGATTGGATTAGCCTAATAAGTCATCAAACACATATGCTATTCTTTAATCTGAATAGGATAATAAAATAAATAGTGTAACAAACGTGGGCTTTATATTTCAAGAATAATATTCTTTGGGATTTTGCTCACGGCTGGCCTTCCAGTATCCCAAGATATGTACCCAAGACTCCCATCACTAACGTTGGGTTGACGAAATCGACAAACAATTTCCAACGGGAGGCGAATTGATCCAAAGGGTTTCTACAAATGTAAACAAGACGACAATTAGAACTCAGAATCTATGTAAGGAAGAACACGGAGTATGTGTGATCTTCAAGATTCGGAGAATGGTTTTTCAAGTCAAGATCAAGCTCAAGCTCAAGGAAAGGTATAAGCTCATGAGGAGGAGTGGTGAGCAAGGGAGAATTTTGTAATGCCCAACGACAACGGTTGACAGTGGTGAAAGTGAGAGCCTTTAACCAAGTGGTGCCTAATTTCAGAAAACTGGTTAAAATAATGTCAGTATCTCGAGCTTGGAACTTGTTCTTTAAGTAAACTACTTTTTAGAAGACTGCGTTCATTATTCGTGTATAGATGTAAGGGCATTCTGGTTCTTTATAGATATGGAGGATTATAGAGCCAAAAACTTTTTAAAAGAGGTTATTTTACAACTCACCAATAAAAATTGGGTTATATATATATATATATATTCTGGATCATATCAATATCTGTGGTCCACTGAACTTTCCTTGGAATAACTTCTCCAATCGTTCGGACATTGAAGGTAATGTAACATAATTCTTCCAATCTCCCACTCCGCCTTTACTGAAAAAGAAATATTTTTTAACCTAATAGCATGTTTACCACCCTTGTTCACCTCTTAACTTTTCACAGTATGAAAACCGCAAAACTTTAATATTTCTTCTATCACTCCTTGCCCTCTCTTCATCCTCAGTGAAAGGAAATCCTAAGAAATCGGTCAAATTCTTGACGTTAAATTTTATCTCCTCTTTCTTATTTTCATAATTTAAAAATATAACTTGGAGTAATTCTCTGATATTAATTTTCAGGATCATAAATATATACAATTAGATTTAAATTGTAATATCAATCCAATGGTGATTCAATATAGCATTGATGAAATTAATATCAGAATGTTTGGACTAAAAAATGACCAATAATCTATATAAATCACTTGGTAATTAATATAATTTTTCCAATAATTATTAAAGTAAAACTTGT